TTTCTTTTCGAGTTTATTTTTCTTGCTGTTTAATTTGTTGAGTATTATTTTGGGAATCTGGTACTTAGCTGCTGGAGGCCCGCATGGGATCGCCCTGTGGGCCTAGTGGCTTACCTTAAGGATCTCAGGGTCCTGGGTAAGAGGGCTGCTCTCAAAGAATACCCTATGCAACCCCGTTCCTGAACATAGTTATAAGTATGTGTATGTATAAGATTGTATAGTGATTAATTTTCTCTAATATTATTTATTGCTTTGGGATACACACACACACACACACATAAATATTTATATGTTAAATAAATTCTGTATATAGTTAAGAACCTTTTTTGTGGTGTGGTGCTATACAGAATAGAGGAATCCATACCTGAGTCACAGCATTCCTCTCACAGCACTGTTGCCTGCCCACCTATCCCATCCAACTGAGAACAGGGCACACCCTTGGGTGTATCTAGGTTACACAAGTAAAGATTTTTCCCTTAAGATAGAGAGACAATCAAATCCACAGTGCGCTTCATTATGGCTGAAGATTTGATGTCCAAACACTCTCAGATTTTATGGTAATGGACAGCAGTATAAAACCCAATAGACAAGACAGACAAAGTTCTTCTGTACTTGTCTATCTTCTTCTGTTCCAGTATGAACATATGTGTAAATAAATAAATACAAAAGTACAAAAACAGTTTTAAACTGTATTACAGTAACCACTGTGATTGTTCAAAACTACCAGTACAGATATTGTGGACCAGATATTCACCGGGTACATTCACCATAGTCTCACTGACTGCAATAGTTTACACTAGGTGGGAATCTGGCCCACTGTGCTGTTGTTGGTTTTAGGAAGGCAGATGTGGGGGGATTTTTTTTGGTTTGTTTTTATTTAATATAATTTGGCCTAAAGGCTTTATGTAACTTAGTTCTGAACATCTGGGATTGATTACAGGCTCACAAGCTGGAAAGCATTCATCTGACTTTTAGAAATAAACACATTCAGCTCAGTGCATAGCACAACTTCATTTTTAATGATAGACTGCAGAAGCTTAAACAGCCATTTTAAATCTTTAATTTGCATACCCTCGGTATTTTTAGTTACATTTTTCACACTGTAGTATCAGGCAACAATTAAGTTAATTTTTATTGCTTTTCTTTATTTTTTTGTAAAAATTCATGAACAATGGCAAACCTGCAACTAAGATTCTTGTTAGTTTCATTTTTCACAAGTATCGTGGGAGAGGCCCAATATGTAATGCAAGATGCAGCACTGATGCATTACATGGATCGGCGTTTTCAATCTTTAGAGGTATGTGCTATCTTTATAAGTGGATCACAGAAATATTGTATAACTGCAGATGAAATTGAAAGTTGCTTAATGTTTTTGTATATGCTAACAGCTTTTAAGTTAGTTATTAGTCAAATAAGGCAGTTTTCTCCTTGTGGAAAACAAAATGAATACATGTAGCTGATAAAACTTACAAATGTAATTATTTTATCATAATATTATCAATCATATGACATAATTTGATAATGTTATATCTTTATTTCATTATAAAGAGCCAAATTCTGCTACCAGATTGATGCAACCCAATCAATTAAAGTTTTGCACAAAAAAAACCAACCTGTGCAAATATTTAAATTTACAATAAATCCCAGGACAATTACATTTCTTCCTGTCACCAGTAGGCTAGGTGCCAATGATTAATGTACACATACAAGATAAAAAAAAAAACTTTATAAGTTTTTATCTCTAGCTGAATTTAATTTTTTAAAACTTTGAGCATATTTGCACCTTTAAAAGAGATTGAAATAATCCCATGTAGTCTGGGAGATTAGAAAAAGATTTTACTTCCATTTAATTATATAAGAAGCCGCTGCATGTCTCCCTTAAGGGGCAGGCATAGAAAACAGTGAACAAGGAGGTAAGAAAGAGTAGGCAGGGAGGCAGGAGCTTTGGGGAAATGGATTGGTTGCTAATAGGGAATCTTGGGTAGGCAAGGTGGATTGTGTGGAGGACTGGTGTATGTTTTGGGGGTATATCAAGAAGAGGAGAATTTGGGGAAAAAACTGTCTTTCTTCAGTATTCTTCAGTATATGCAGTAAAACTGAAATGAATACTGACTATTAAAGAGGAAGACAGATCCAAACAGGGTACATGGATGAAATCATCTTGTTATGCCTGGAACACTAACCACATTTAATACACTTGCCAAAGATTTTAATAATAAAACAATAAAATAACAACATAATTAAAAATAAAAAAGGCATAGGAAGTTATGGTTATATGTAAATATGCAACTTAACCCATTGAATAATCAGCATAAAATATCAAATTAGCAGGCCAGACATAAACCTACAAAATATCGACAATAAAGTGGAACACACAGGCACTATTGCCATTGTAAGGCTATTTATTCCTCAGTCATAGAACAGCCCAAAATGGAAAGCTTGAAATCTAAGTTGGGTTCTACAGTTGAAAACCCAGTATATTAACTGATTAAGCTCCCACACTTAGGTGTCTTCCCTTGGATGCTTGCACATGTTTATCAACTTTAACATACATAGGAGGTAGCATAGCATAAAATTAAGGATATAAGATCTTAATAGGCTGCTAGGGCTCAGGAAACCAGTATTATGTTCCCAGCTTTGCTACTAGTGCTATGACCCTTCAGACAAATCATTTTGCATCCACAACTCAGTTTCTCCATCTAAAATAACAATATTTTGTACATTGAGAGCTACAGATAAGAACCGTCTACCTAAATCTCTTCCTCTTTCATCACTTACTCTGTTAGGAAGTTTGACCCAAGTAAAGAACTCTACAATTTTCATAGTGACTGACAATTTGGGGGGGTCTCAGTTTTGGATGCCCAATCTGAAACACAGAATCATAGAAAACTAGGGCTAGAAGGGGCCTCAAGATGTCATTTAGTCCCATTCCCTGCTCAAGGCAGATGGTCCTTATCCAAACCATCCTAAATCAGTCCTTGTTTAACCTATTCCTACAACTGTACAAACAAAGCTGTTCAACAATTGCAAGGCATATCACTTTAAAACATGAAGAACACCCTCACTTGCCACAAGTAAAGCAGGGGAATGAGGGTACTGTAAATGGCTGCTGTTGCAAGGGCTGTGAAAAATACGCTTGAGACATCCAAGGTTCCCCTTCTCCCCCTCTCTGCCACTACAGAAAAAGGCAAAAACCCCCACAGTCCATGCCCACCTTCAAATCCTGAGTTTTAGAGAGTGACTATTCAGTTCTTCTTGAAAAGTTGATATCTCCACTTAGGCACCCAAAATAACTTTTGAAAATGTACAGCAAAGCATACTGGTACCGATGGCTATAGAAACACATGGGTCTTTTGTATATTGACAAAATATCAACTTGATTGCCCCATTTTTCATGTTTTTACTTCACACTTTTCACATAACCTCCTTCCCAAACATAGCTTTTAGGGGTCAAATTTCAATCTCTCTCTTATATGACAGAAGAGAAGCAGTAGTGTTAACTCAGACCAGATATCTGCTGGGTTAGCAGAAGATCATTATATAAAATGTTACTGTTTCCTGACTCCAGCAGCTATGCCTGTGTGCACATTCTTATGAGACTGATTCACTAGAGCTCCTGAAGAGGTGATTTTAAGGAGCTTTTGGAAGAAAAATTCATCAGTCAACTCCCTGTTCTGAACCCCCAATTACTTCTACAGGTGGAAGCCAAGGAGAATGTTTGGCCATCTGCCTTCATTTCAAAGGAAATGTATATATTTAATAAAAACTATGAATTTTACGGATAGTGAAACATGTCCTCTTCATGCACATAAATGCGAAGAGATAATGAATTAACTTTAAAGGGGGTAGAAGAGACAACTAGACAGAATGTCTAGTATTGTTCTGTTTGTTTGTTAACTAATCATGATTTGATTTTCTATCTGTACAAAATATGCACAGTTGCAGTATAGATATATATGTATTTTGTATTCTAACTCAAGAACAGGCTGGAAAAATGCAACCAAGATGTAATGGATTATGTAGAAGAATTTCGGGACTTCTCAAAGAGGATAGTATCACGCCTAGAGGGACTGAATGTTTATAAGACTGAGTTTAAAAATGAAGTGGAGCATTTGTTAACAAGGGTTGAAAGAGCTCAAAGGGACATCGACTATTTTGCTTCTGGGAGAGACTCTGATGCATGTGTAGAAGTAGATGAAGACTTAGTAGAACAGCAACAAATTGAAGAAGCAGAAGAAAGAAGGAAAATTAAGCTCATGCTTAATGCAAGTAAGAACTGATTACTTTTCAAATTTAGATCTATGAGAGCAAATCCTCTAACACATTTACTCTGATACATCATGAAGTATAAGCATATGTTTTGATACTTGCAAATGCTGAATGCATAAATATTGGTCTTTCCACAGACAAAAGTGCATCAAAAATAGAGAGCAAATGTAATTATCTCATTTATATACAGACTCTGTTACATGTTAAATTGATTTTTTTGGAAACAGTTTTTCTGGACCAGAGGCATTGTGTCTGTTCTTACACAAAGTCCCAGAAAAAACAGAGTCTCTCTCAATTTGTTGCAGCTCTGTCATGTAATTAAATATCTTTTATTTTTTTGGACAGAGCCTCGGTCCAAAAGGTAATTTTTAAGATAATACAATTACTTAATCCACTCATAATTTTTTGTATTTTTTCATATTATCTGTATTTCAGTGTCACTTACTGACTTACACGAATGCAAATTTCAATGGTGAGTTTGAAAATATAACATGTAGAAGTACTAATATGAAGCACATATACATTTTATGTTTTATTTGAAAATTCCTGCCTCCTAAAATGTCATCCTTAAGAAGTATTTTGCTCTTATGAAATGTAATGATGGAGTGTATGTATTGTAGTGATGTATTGGAAATTTTAGGTTGTCTTCTAATTTATTTTATTGCCAATCAGAAACAGCATGAAGTTGAAAAAACAAAACAGGTTATTAAAAATAGTAATGAAAATCTTTCCAGAAAGCTACAGGACACATTCTAGGCTGATGTAAATCTTCCTTGCTCCATTGAAGTCAAAGGAGTTATATTTAGTTTTAATCAGCTAAGGGTCCCCCCTTAACCTTTTCCAGCAAGCTGTTAGCAAAGGGTTAAAGTAGATCCTAGTGGTAATAAAACTACCATTTGCTTTCTCATTGTTCAGCTTCCTCCTCTGCCATTTTCCACTGCTCTGAATGT